CAGGAATTCAAAATACAAATAATTCACCTGCAGGAATTTTTGTAAAGGTGGAAATTGACTGATGGACATAAGTATGCTATGCTGAGCCCCCAGAAAGGAGTTATTATCTCTAGATGAACATAGAAGGCCTATAAGTTAGTATGGAATTCAGGCTAGATCAGTCCCCACCTCACCTGCACAAGACAAACCATCCCTTCCCCTTCCGCTCCCCCCTTACTCCCCTCCCCCCCCCTTTTTTTTCTTCTTTCCTCTCCCACTAAATATACCTCTACTAAATGTGTACAATCATCACAACATCTCATTGTCAGGAGAGATCCCAGCTATTCAAAATACAAATATTACATTACATTTCCCATCAGATTCCCTCTTTCATCAGGGTCCCCATCATAGACCCCTTATATCAAAGTCCCTATTAGAGCCCCCATCAGATTCCCACTTAGTCCCCATTCGTGTCCCCTCTTACATCAAAGTCCCCAACAGAGTCCCCTCTTACATCAAGGCCCCCATCATAGCCACTCTTACATCAGAGCGTCCATCAGAATGGCCCCTCACAGAGCAGTCCCCCCCTACATCAGGGACCCCATCAGAGCAGAGACTGTGCACATCAGCTGTGGGTCAGATAACATCTTGTAGCCAGCAGGATGTGGCCCGCGGGCCGTGGTTTGGAGACCCCTGATATAAAGTAATACCGTGAAGTACATTTTATATCTCTGCAGAATACACTATGTATCCACTACATTAACTTCAATATATAATTAGTAACAATAATCCCAAGAAATAATATATTATATATGTACAAAAACTCAAAATTAAGCATAAATTGCCAACCTATAAAAACTGTTTTTAATTTGCAGAAAATGTTGGTAATAATTTACACAAGGGATATAACTACATGTGTTTTGGGGACCCATAACAGAATCATAAGGGCCCATTCACATTATTGCTTTGCTTTAAGGCACGCAATGCGCATTACATGCATTGGGGAAATGCGGTGCCATGCTTTCTGGATGGTAACCCTTCTGACTGATGTTGAAGCCCAGTACAACGCTCTAATGTGAGTTGCTGTGTAGATCACTGCCAGAAATATTACAGACACCATTTTGGTGGGTTAGGCAGCCTATTCAAATGAATAACCTGCCCTAGGCACCCCACATTAATGTAACAGAATGGTGAGAATGGGCTATAAAGGCCCCCTTTGCTTTTCCAGTCTTCAACTAAAAGGCAGTTTATCTAGAACAGCCATTCTCATCTAGAGTTCTGTGGAACCCTACGGTTCCTTCAGAGGTTGGTAGGGGTTCCTTCAGCTGTGGACTGACTGACCTTTCATTTGATGGTGCCCACAGAGTTCCATGGTCAAGGCCACTTAGCACAGTCAAAAGCATTACACTAATTATCTTTTTTGTTGTCTGTGAGGGAGACATTCTGACTTCCACTGTAAGGGGACATTTTTTCCATTGATCAGCAAAGAATTGGTTTTAGTAAGGGTTCCTGAAGACCTGAAAATATTTCCGAGGGTTCTTCTGAGGGTAAAAAGATTGAGAAAGGCTGATCTAGACTATATAGAAGAGAGATGGCAAGTATAGATCTATGTTTATCCCAAGGATGTTTAAATTCACTTCCCGTTGACTGACTATCCCCGCTGGAAGTCCATTCCAAGCACTTACTAGGGTTCCTTCAGAGTTTGATAGGTGTTCTTTGAGCTGTGGACTGACTGACCTTTCATTTGATGGCGCCTATAGAGTTCCAGGGTCAAGGCAACTTGGCAGAGTCAGCTGCATGACACAAATTATCTTTCTAGCTGTCCATAAGGGTGGCATTCTGTGAATGGAACCTAAAGGCCCCCCTTACTTCTCCAGTCTTCAACTCAAGACAGTTTGTCTAGAACAGCCATTCTCAACTAGGGTTCCTTCAGAGGTTGCTAGAGGTTCCTTGAGCTGTAGACTAATTGACCTCTCATTTGATGGTCCCTGCAGAATTCCAGGGTCAAGGCCCCTTGGCAGAGTCAGCTGCAGGACACCAATGATCTTTTTAGCTGACCATAAGGGTGACATTCTGTGAATGGGCCTTAAAGGCCCTCTTTGCTTCTTCAGGCTTCAACTCAAAGACAGTTTGTCTAGAACAGCCATTCTCAACTAGGGTTCCTTCAGAGGTTGCTAGGGGTTCCTTGAGCTGTGAATTGACTGACCTCTCATTTTATGGTGCCCACAGAGTTTTAGGATCAAGGCCACTTGGCAGAGTCAGCTGCATGACACCATTGATCTTTTTTAGCTGTCCATAAGGACGACATTCTGACCACCACTGTGCTGCATCGAAATGGTGTGAATGGGTCCTAAAGGCCCCCCTTGCTTCTCCAGTCTTCAACTCAAGGGCAGTTTGTCTAGAACAGCCATTCTCAACCAGGGTTCCATGGAACCCTAAGGTTCCTTCAGAGGTTGCTAGAGGTTCCTTAAGCTGTGGACTTACTGACCTCTCATTTGATGGTGCCCACAGAGTTCCATGGTCAAGGCCACTTGACACAGTCAAAAGCATGACACCAATTATCTTTTTTGCTGTCTATGAGGGAGACATTCTGACCGCCACTGTAAGGGGGACATTTTTCCCATTGACCATTAAAGAATTGGTTTTAGAAAGGGTTCCTGAAGACCTGAAAATATGTCCAAGGGTTCCTCTGAGGGTAAAAGGGTTGAGAAAGGCTGATCTAGACTATATAGAAGAGAGATGGCAAGTATAGATCTATGTTTATCCCAAGAATGTTTAAATTCACTTCCTGTTGACTATCTACCCCCCATGGAAGTCCATTCCAAGCATTTACTACTCTTTCTCCAGTATAAACCCTTGTGAAGGATATTCTGGAACCTCCCTGCTAGTATGATGTCAGGTCACTGCGTTCTTGCTGGATAATAATTGCTTGCATAGCAATCATAGCGAGGGTCCCAAACTATAAATATATTTATTGTATCCAAATGGATTCCCAAATGCTTTGCTACTTGCACAATCACTATATAACCAGACCCTTTTGGACCCCATAGCAATTGTATGGTCGGCTATAAGTTATATATAATAGTATAGATGGTGTGACTTCTATGTGGTCTAAAACTGTCTGGTTACATAATGATTTGTAAGCCATAACATAATGACCACCCAGCTAATATTGAGGAGGTTCTCTTTTGTTGCCAGAACAGCCCTTTTGCCAACAAAACAGCACTAACATATTGCCGCATGGACTCCACTAGACCTCTGAAGGTATGCTATGGTATATGGCACCAAGCCCTCAGTAGTAGATCCCTTAAGTCTTGTAGGAGGTGGGGCCTCCATGAATTGGACTTGGTTTTCCAACACATCCCACAGATGTATGATTGGATTGAGATCTGAAGAATTTGAAGGCCAAGTCAACACCTCGAATACACCTTCTATTGCTCTGTGGTCCTGTTTTGATGCCCATGTGCCCATTGTAGGCACTTTTGTCTGTGGACACGGGTCAGCATGGGCACCCTGATCAGCCTGCAGGTACACAGCCCCATACACAACAAGGTGTGATGCACTCTGTGTGTTCTGACACTTTTCTGTCTGAACCAGTATTAAGGTTTTCAGCAATTTGAACTAATTGGATCAGACTACACAGGCCAACCTTTGCTCCCCACACAGATGAGTCTTGGCCATCCATGACCCTGTCACCGGTTCTCCAATTTTCCTTTCTTGGATCACATTTTGGTTGGTCCCGACCACTGCAGACCGGGAAAATCCCACACGAGCTGCAGTTTTGGAGTTGTTCTGACCCGTCATCTAGCCATTATAATTTGGTTCATGTCAAAGTCACTCAAATCCTTAGACTTGCCCAATTCTTCTGTTTTCAACACATCAACTTCAGGGACAACATGCACAACACACACACAGGTCTCCCATATATATATATATATATACACACACACGTCTCCCATATATATATATATATACACACACTATATTGCCAAAGGTATTGGGCCCGCCCCCCAAATAATTGGATTCAGGTGTTCCAATCCCCTCCATGGCCACAGGAGTATACAATCAAGCCCCTAGGCATACATACTGCTTCTACAAACATTGGTGAAAGAAATCACAGTCTCCGCTCTAATTCATCCCAAAGGTGTTCTATGGGGTTGAGGTCAGGACTCTATGCAGGACAGTCAAGTTCCTCCACCCCAAACTGGCTCCCATTGCTACCCCACAACCTTCTATTGAGGCACACAGTGCCCCCCCCCCCCCCAAGAGCCCACAGTTTCCACAGTGCCCCCCAGCCTGCTGTAGATCCCCCAGCCCTCCATTGTGCCCCAATCTCTGCTGTAGGACCAGGTGACCCACATTGCACCTCAACCTCCCCCAGAAGCCTCAACCACAATGGGGCCATCAGGTCTGCTGCAGAGTCCCCTAACCACGCCACTGGGGTTTGACCATTCTTCCAGAAGCACATTTGTCAGGTCAGGCACTGATGTCGGGGGGGAGGAGCCTGGCTCGCAGTCTCCACTCTAATTCATCCCAAAGGTGTTCTATGGGGTTGAGGTCAGGACTCTGTGCAGGACAGTCAAGATCCTCCACCCCAAACTGGCTCCTCCATGTCTTTTTGGACCTTGCTTTGTGCACTGGTGAGCAGTCATGTTGGAACAGGAAGAGGCCATCCCCAAACTCTTCCCACAAAGCTGGGAGCATGAAATTGTCCAAAATGTCGCCTTAAGGGTTCCCTTCACTGGAATTAGAGGGCCAAACCCAACCCCTGAGGAACAAACCCACACCATAATTCCCCTCCACCAAACTTTACTTTTTTTCTGCAGCGTCTCCATTGATGTCTATATAACCAAAAATGCAGCTTTTTGAGTTTAAAAAAAGTCCCTGAACATTTAAAAAAATGCTTCGGGTGAAAATGCAGAGATGTGAACGTGCCCCATAGGAAATCAAGTTCAATGGACTACTGCGTGTTTTCTGCAAAGCGCAACATAAAATGGACAGGTTTGAAAGTGTTACCAAACCCTGGACCCTGCATTCAATATAGCCACTCTCCCTGGACCCTGCATTCACCATATCCGCTCTCCCTGGACCCTGCGTTCACTAAATCCACTCTCCCCGGACCCTGCGTTCACTAAATCCGCTCTCCCGGGACCCCGCATTCACTATATTCGCTCTTCCCGGACCCAGTGGTTGGAATTTGAACCAGTGACCCTAGAACTGCGAGGTGGAAATGCTAACCATTCACTATATCTGCTCTCCTCCGGACCCTGCATTCACTAAATCCGCTCTCCCTGGACCCTGCATTCACTATATCCACATTCCCCACACACCCTGCGTTCACTATATCCGCTCTCCCTGGACCCTGCATTCAATATATATTCTCTCCCCAGACCCTGCGTTCACTATACCTGCTCTCCTCAGAACCTGCATTCACTATATCTGCTCTCCCCAGAACCAGCATTCACTATATCTGCTCTCCCCAGAACCTGCATTCACTATATCTGCTCTCCCCAGAACCAGCATTCACTATATCTGCTCTCCCCAGAACCAGCATTCACTATATCCGCTCTCCCCGGACCCTGCATTCACTATATCCACTCTCCCGGACCCTTCATTCACTATATATCCACTCACCCCGGACCCTGTATTCACTATATCCGCTCTCCCCAGACCCTGCATTCACTATATCCGCTCTCTCCCCAGACCCTGCATTCACTATATCTGCTCTCCCCCGGACCCTGCATTCACTATATCCGATCTCACTGGACCCCGCATTCACTATATTCGCTCTTCTTCCCGGACCCAGTGGTTGGGATTTGAACCAGTGACCCTAGTACTGCTAGGTGGAAATGCTAACCATTCACTATATCTGGTCTCCCCGGACCCTGCATTCACTATATCTGGTCTCCCTGGACCCTGCATTCAAAATATCTGGTCTCCCTGGACCCTGCATTCACTATATTCAAACTCCATGGACTCAGCATTCACTATATCCAGTCTCCTCGTACCCCGCATTCACTATATCTGGTCTCCCTGGAACCTGTATTTACTATATCCGCTCTCCCCAGACCCTGCATTCACTATATCTGCTCTCCCCGGACCCTGCATTCACTATATCCGCTATTCCCGTCCCCTGCATTCACTATATCTGCTCTCCCTGGACCCTGCATTCACTGTAACTGGTCTCTTCAGACCTTGCATTAACTATATATCCGCTCTCCCCAGACCCTGCATTCACTATATCCGCTCTCCCTGGACTCTGCATTCACTATAACCGGTCTCCCGGACCCTGCATTCACTATATCCGCTCTTCCCAGACCCTGCATTCACTATATCTGCTCTCCCTGGACCTGGCATTCACTATATCTGGTCTCCTCGGGCCCTGCATTCACTATATCTGCTCTCTCTGGACCCTGCATTCACTATATCTGCTCTCCCTGGACCCTGCATTCACTATATATGGTCTCCCCAAACCCTGCATTCACTATATCTGCTCTCCCTGGACCCTGCATTCACACTATATATGGTCTCCCCAAACCCTGCATTCACTATATCCGGTCTCCCTGGACCCTGCATTCACTTTATCCGGTCTCACTGGACCCTGCATTCACTATATTCGCTCTTCCCGTCCTCTGCATTCAATATATCTGCTCTCCCTGGACTCTGCATTCACTATAATTGTTCTGCCAGGAACCTGCATTCACTATAACTGGTCTCCAGGACCCTGCATTCACTATATCTGGTCTCCCCAGACCCTGCATTCACTATATCTGGTCTCCCCAGACCCTGCATTCACTATATCCGCTCTCCCAGGACCCTGCATTCACTATCATATTATTAAAAAATGTGCTATATGAAACAATTGCACAATTCCTATATATTAAAAAGCAAAGTATTTTTTAAGTACGAATCAAGCAAAAGTCATTCAAAAACTCAAGTTCAATCAATAAAGTGTTCTTCTGTGAACCCTCCTTCGGATAACGAAAAATATGTGCATCTGTCATCAATTCCCGTGCAAAGACATCCTCCACCATATATCTGCTCACCTCACGCAGTGTGACCGCACATTATACAATGTTACCTCTAACTGCACTTTTGGGTCCATTTGGACTCAGAAGATCAGCTTGTTGAATGAGGACACCAAAGTAATCTCCCTCCTGATAAGTGTCTTTGTATCAGCCGTATTCCTCATTACAAAGAACTCCACATAGTGCTTTATCCTTTTACACTTTTATTCATCAATTAAACATAAGAAATGCACTCACGTTCCGGAGGTGTATATTGCACCAGGTATGATGAACATCCAGTGATGTACTGATTAGACACTAGATGGCAGCAGAGTCCTGCACATGCTCAAACCAGACCCCATCCGTAATGTAATGCCAGGCAAAGCACGGGGCCACTTAATGAATGCTATTGCCTGCTGTAATGTCGTTCCAGGAGCCGCTTACAGAGTACTATAACCGCTGTCCCAAGGAATGGTAATGTCGTGATGTCATTCGCACACTCCTCCCCGGCCCCTGCATTCACTGTATCCGCTCTCCCCAGACCCTGCATTCACTATATCCGCTCTCCCTGGACCCTGCATTCACTATATCCTGTCTCCCAGGACCCTACATTCACTATATATAGTCCCCCCGGGACCCTGCATTCACTATATCCGCTCTTCCCGTCACCTGAATTCACTATATATCTGATGTCCCTGGATCCTGCATTAACTATAAATGGTCTGCCCGGAACCTGCATTCACTATAACTGGTCTCCCCGGACCCTGCATTCACTATATCCGGTCTCCCCGGACCCTGCATTCACTATATCCGGTCTCCCCGGACCCTGCATTTACTATATCTGGTCTCCCCAGACCCTGCATTCATTATATCCGCTCTCCCCAGACCCTGCATTCACTATATCTGCTCTCCCCGGACCCTGCATTCACTATATCTGGTCTCCCCGGACCCTGCATTCACTATATCCGGTCTCCCCGGACCCTGCATTCACTATATCCGGTCTCCCCCGGACCCTGCATTTACTATATCTGGTCTCCCCAGACCCTGCATTCATTATATCCGCTCTCCCCAGACCCTGCATTCACTATATCTGCTCTCCCCAGACCCTGCATTCATTATATCCGCTCTCCCCAGACCCTGCATTCACTATATCTGCTCTCCCAGACCCTGCATTCACTATATCCACTCTCCTCGGACCCTGCATTCACTATATCTATCTCCTCGGACCCTGCATTCACTATATCATCTCCCGGACCCTGCATTCACTATATCCATTCACCTCGGACCCTGCATTCACTATATCCACTCTCCCATCCCCAGACCCTGCATTCACAATATCCCCTCTCTCGAGACCCTGCATTCACTATATCTGGTCTCACAGGACCCTGCATTCACTATATATGCTCTCCCGGACCCTGCATTCACTATATCCATTGTCCCCGGACCCTGCATTTACTATATATCCACACTCCCGGACCCTGAATTCACTATATATCCACTCTCCCCTGACCCTGCATTCACTATATCCATTCTCCCCGGACCCTTCATTCACTATATCCGGTCTCCCCGGACCCTGCATTCACAATATCTGCTCTCCCCAGGCACTGCATTCATTATATCTGGTGTCACAGGACCCTGCATTCACTATATCTGGTCACCCGGTCCCTGCATTCACTATATCCACTCTACTTGGACCCTGCATTCACTATATCTGCTCTCCCAGGACACTTCATTCACTATATCTGGTCTCCCTGGGCTCTACATTCACTATATCCGCTCTCCCAGGACCCTCCATTCACTTTATCCACTATCTCAGGACCCTGCATTCACTATATCTGGTCTCCCAGGAGCCTGCATTCACTAAATCCGCTCTCCCCAGACACTGCATTCACTATATCCAATCTCCCAGGACCCCCCATCCACTATATCTGGTCTCTCCGGACTCTGCATTCACTATATCCGATCTCCCCAGACCCTGCATTCACTATATCCGCTCTCCCCGGACCCTGCATTCACTATATCTGCTCTCCCTGGACGCTGCATTCACTATATCCGGTCCCCCCCGACCCTGCATTCACTATATCTGGTCTTCACAGACCCTGTATTTACAATATCCGATCTCCCCAGACCCTGCATTCACTATATCTGCTCTCCCCGGACCCTGCATTCACTATATCTACTCTCCCTGAATGCTGCATTCACTATATCCGGTCCACCCCGACCCTGCATTCATTATATCTGGTCTCCAGTGAAAAAAATGCTGCGCTACATGAAACAATTGCACCATTCCTATATAAAAAAAGCAAAGTGAAAAAATAAATAATAAAATAAAAATTATTAAAAAAGAATTAAGTAAATAAAATTCTCTCTCTCTCTCTCTAGATATATATATATTTATATATATAACAAGGACCACAAAAAAAATTAAAAAAGTATTTTTTAAGTATGAATCAAGAAAAGTCATTCAACAACTCAAGTTCAATTAACAGTGTTCTTCTGTGAACCCTCCTTTGGATAACGAAAAATATGTGCATCTGTCATCAATTCCCGTGCAAAGACATCCTCCACCATATATCTGCTCACCTCACGCAGTGTGACCGCACATTATACAATGTTACCGTCTAACTGCACTTTTGGTCCCATTTGGACTCAGAAGATCAGCTTGTTGAATGAGGACTCCAAAGTAATCTCCCTCCTGATAAGCGTCTTTGTATCAGCCGTATTCCTCATTACAAAGAACTCCACATAGTGCTTTATCCTTTTACACTTTTATTCATCAATTAAACATAAGAAATGCACTCACGTTCCGGAGGTGTATATTGCACCAGGTATGATGAACATCCAGTGATGAACTGATTAGACACTAGATGGCAGTATCATCTCAGCAGCAGAGTCCTGTACATGCTCAAACCAGACCCCATCCGTAATGTAATGCCAGGCAAAGCACGGGGCCACTTAATGAATGCTATTGCCTGCTGTAATGTCGTTCCAAGAGCCGCTTACAGAGTACTATAACCGCTGTCCCGATGAATGGGTAATGTCGTGACGTCATCCGCACACTCCTCCCCAGACGCTGCATTCACTATATTCGCTCTCCCCGAACCCTGAATTCAATATATCCGCTCTCAACGGACACTGCATTCACTATATCTGCACACCCAGGGCCCTGTATTCACTATATCCGCTCTCCCCAGACCCTGCATTCACTACATCCTCTCTCCCCGGACACTGCATTCACTACATCCCTTCTCCCAGGAACCTGCATTCACTTTATTTACTCTCCCGGGGCCCTTCATTCACTATATCCACTTTCCCAGGACCCTGCATTCACTATATCCGGTTTCCCCAGACCCTGAATTCAAAATATCTGCTCTCCCCCCGGACCCTGCATTCATTATATCCACTCTTCCCGGACCCTGCATTCACTATATCTGGTATCCCCAGACGTGGCATTTACTTTACCTGGTCTCCCAGACCCTGCATTCACTATATCTGTTTCCCCCAAACCTGGCATTCACTATATCTGCTCTCCTTGGGCCCTGCATTCACTATATGTTTTCACCCCGGACCCTGCATTCACTATATCCACTCTCCCCAGGCCCTGCATTCACTATATTCGCTCTCCCCCGTACCCTGTATTCACTATATTCGCTCTTCCTGGACCCTGCATTCACTATATCCGCTCTCCCCGGACCCTGCATTCACTATATCCGCTCTCCCCGGACCCAGTATTAACTATATCCGCTCTTCCCGGAACCTGCATTCACTATATCCGTTCTCCCAGGAACCTGCATTCACTATATCTGGTCTCACTGGACCTGCATTCACTATATTCATTCTCCCAGGACCCTGCATTAACTATATTCGCTCTCCCAGAACACTGCATTCACTATATCTGGTCTCCCCAGACCTGCATTCACTATATCTGCTCTCCCTGGACCCTACGTTCACTATATCTTGTCTCCCCAGACCCTGCGTTCACAATATCTGCTCTCCCCATACCCTGCATTCACTATATCCACTCTCTCCCGAAATCCTGCATTCACTATATGCACTCTCTCTTTGGACCCTGCATTCACTATATGTTGTCTCCCTGGACCCTGCATTCACTATATTCGATGTTCCTCCCCGCACCCTGCATTCACTATATCTTCTCTTCCTGGACCCTGAATTCACTATTTTTGCTCTCCCCGGACCCTGCATTCACTACATCCACTCTCCCAGGACCCTGCATTCACTATATCCTGTCTTCCCAGACCCTGAATTCACATATCCGCACTTCCTGGACCCTGCATTCACTAGATCTGCTCTCTGCAGACCCAGCATTCACTATATTCGCTCTCTCCAGGACCCTGCATTCACTATATCTGCTCTCCACGGACCCTGCATGCACTATATCCATTCTCCTGGACTCTGAACTTCACTATATCCACTCTCCATGGACCGTGAATTCATTATATGTGGTCTCCCCAGACCCTGCATTCACTTTATCCGCTCTCCCCGGGCCCTGAAATCACTATATTCACTCTCTCCCCAGACCCTGCATTCACTTTATCCACTTTCCCCAGGCCCTTCATTCACTATATCTGTTCTCCCTGGACCCTGCATTCACTATATTCACTCTCCCTGATCACCCCACATTATACAATGTTCCCGTCTAACTGCACTTTTGGTTCCATTTGGACTCAGAAGATCAGGTTGCTGAATGAGGACTCCAAAGTAATCTCCCTCCTGATAAGCGTCTTTGTATCAGCCGTATTCCTCATTACAAAGAACTCCACATAGTGCTTTTATCCTTTTACACTTTTATTCATCAATTAAACATAAGAAATGCACTCACGTTCCGGAGGTGTATATTGCACCAGGTATGATGAACATCCAGTGATGTACTGATTAGACACTAGATGGCAGTATCATCTCTCAGCAGCAGAGTCCTGTACATGCTCAAACCAGACCCCATCCGTAATGTAATGCCAGGCAAAGCACGGGGCCACTTAATGAATGCTATTGGCTGCTGTAATGTGGTTCCAGGAGCCGCTTACAGAGTACTATAACCACTGTCCCGATGAATGGTAATGTTGTGATATCATCCGCACACTCCTCCCCGGCCCTTGCATTCACTATATACGCTCTCCCCGGACCCTGCATTCACTATATCTAGTCTCCCAGGACCCTGCATTCACTATATCTGGTCTCCCAGGACCCTGCATTCACTATATCTGGTCTCCCAGGACCCTGCATTCACTATATACACTTTCCCCGGTCCCTGCATTGACAACAATATCCGCTTCTCCCCGGACCCTGTATTCACTATATCTGGTCTCCCCGGACCCTGCATTCACCATATCTGGTCTCCCCAGACCCTGCATTCACTATATATGCTCTCTCCCTGAACCCCTGAATTCAATACATCCACTCCATGGACTCTGCATTCACTATATCTGCTGCTCTCCCCAGGGCCCTGCATTCACTATATCCGCTCTCCCTGGACCCTGCATTCACTATATCCGCTCTCCCAGGACCCTTCATTCACTATATCTGGTCTCTCCCCGGACCCTGCATTCACTATAGTCATTCTCCCAGAAACCTTCATTCACGATATTCGCTCTCCCAGAACCCTGCATTCACTATATCTGCTCTCCCCGGACCCTGCATTCACTATATCTGGTCTCCCCGGACCCTGCATTCACAATATCCGCTCTCCCCAGACCCTGCATTGATTATATCCGTTCTCCCCAGGACCCTGCATTCGCTATATCCGCTCTCCCCAGACCCTGCATTCACTATATCTTGTCTCCCTGAACCCTGCATTCACTATATCTGCTCTCTCCCCATACCCTGCATTCACTATATCCGCGGTCCCGGAATCCTGCATTCACTATATCCACTCTCCCCGGACCCTGCATTCACTATATGTTGTCCCCCCGAACCCTGCATTCACTATATTCGCTGTTCTCGGACCCTGCATTCACTATATCTTCTCTACCCAGACCCTGCATTCACTATATTCACTCTCCCCGGACCTAGTATTCACTATATTCGCTGTTCCTGGACACTGTATTAACTATTTTTTCTCTCCCGGACCCTGCATTCACTATATCCACTTTCCCAGGACTCTGCATTCACTATATCTTTTTCTTCCTGGCCCCTGCATTCACTATATCCACTCTACCAGGACCCTGCATTCACTTTATATATGGTCTCTCACAGGACCCTGCATTCACTATATCTGCTCTCCCCTGGACCCTGCATTCACTATATCCGCTCTCTCCCCGGACCCCGCATTCACTATATCTGCTCTCCCCGGACCCGGCATTCACTATATCTGCTCTCTCTGGACCTGGCATTCACTATATCTGCTCTCCCTGGACCCTGCATTCACTATATCCACTCTCCCCGATCACTGCATTCAATATATCAGCTCTATTTGGGCCCTGCATTCACTATATCCACTCTCCCCGGACCCTGCATTCACTATATTCCCTCTTCCAAGACCCTGCATTCACTATATGGACCCTGCATTCACTATATCCGGTCTCCCCCAGACCTTGCATTCACTATATCTCATCTCCCCATACCCCGCATTCACTATATCTGGTCTCCCCGGACCCTGCATTCGCTATATCCGGTCTCCCCGGACTCTGCATTCACTATATCCAGTCTCCTCGGACCGCACATTCACTATATCCGCTCTCCCCGGAACCTGCATTCACTATATCTGGCCTCCCTGGACCCTGCATTCACTATATCTGCTCTCCTCAGACCCTGCATTCACTATATCTGCTCTCCTCAGACCCTGCATTCACTATATCCACTCTCACTGGACCCTATATTCACTATATCTGCTCCCCGATCCTGCATTCACTATAACTGGTCTTCCCGGTCCCTGCATTCACTAACAATGGTCTCCCCGGACCCTGCATTCACTATTTCTGGTCTCCCCAGACCCTGCATTCACTTCAATCAGATTATGACGTAAAAAAAAAAAATGCTGCGCTACATGAAACAATTGCACAATTCCTATATATCAAAAAGCAAAGTGAAAAAATAAATAATAAAATAAAAAAATATTGAAAAAAAAAAGTATTACTTAAATAAAACAATATATATTAAAACAAGGATCAGAGAAAAAATCTAAAAGTATTTTCTAAGTATGAATCAAACAAAAGTCATTCAAAAACTCAAGTTCAATCATTAAAGTGCTCTTCTGTGAACCCTTCTTTGGATAACGAAAAATATGTGCATCTGTCATCAAATCCCGTGCAAAGACATCCTCCACCATATATCTGCTCACCTCACGCAGTGTGACCGCACATTATACAATGTTACGTCTAACTGCACTTTTGGTCCCATATGGACTCAGAAGATCAGCTTGTTGAATGAAGACTCCAAAGTAATCAGGACCCCCTCCTGATAAGTGTCTTTGTATCAGCCGTATTCCTCATTACACAAAAGAACTCCATTCACCGGCCTCCTACCCCATAGTGCTTTATCCTTTTACACTTTTATTCATCAATTAAACATAAGAAATGCACTCACGTTCCGGAGGTGTATATTGCACCAGGTATGATGAACATCCAGTGATGTACTGATTTAGACACTAGATGGCAGTATCATCTCAGCAGCAGAGTCCTGTACATGCTCAAACCAGACCCCATCCGTAATGTAATGCCAGGCAAAGCACGGGGCCTCTTAATGAATGCTATTGGACCCTGCTGTAATGTCGTTCCAGGAGCCGCATTACAGAGTACTATAACCGCTGTCCCGATGAATGGTAATGTCATGATGTCATCCGCACACTCCTCCCCGGACCCTGCATTCACTATATATAAGCTCTCCCTGAACCCTGAATTCAATATATCCGCTCTCAACGGACACTGTATTCACTATATCTGCTCACCCAGGGCCCTGTATTCACTATATCCGCTCTCCCCAGACCCTGCATTCACTACATCCGTTTCTCCCAGGAACCTGCATTCACTTTTATTTACTCTCCCCGTACCCTGCATTCACTATATCCGGTTTCCCCAGACCCTGAATTCACTATATCTGCTCTCCCCGGACCCTGCATTCATTATATCCACTCTTCCCGGACCCTGCATTCACTATATCTGGTATCCCCAGACCTGGCATTTCACTTTACCTGGTCTCCCCAGACCCTGCATTCACTATATCTGTTCTCTTCCCGAACCTGGCATTCACTATATCTGCTCTCCCTGTACCCTGCATTCACTATATCGACTCTCCCCAATCACTGCATTCAATATATCAGCTCTCCTCGGGCCCTGCATTCACTATATGTTTTCACCCCGGACTCTGCATTCACTATATCCACTCTCCCCCAGGCCCTGCATTCACTATATCGCTCTCCCCGGACCCTGCATTCACTATATCCGCTCTCCCCGGACCCTGCATTCACTATATCCGCTCTCCCCGGACCCTGCATTCACTATATCCGCTCCCCTGGACCCTGCATTCACTATATCCGCTCTCCCCGGACCCTGCATTCACTATATCCGCTCTCCCCGGACCCTGCATTCACTATATCTGCTCTCCCCGGACCCTGCATTCACTATATCTGCTCTCCCCGGACCCTGCATTCACTATATCCGCTCTCCCCGGACCCTGCATTCACTATATCTGCTCTCCCCGGACCCTGCATTCACTATATCTGGTCTCCCCGGACCCTGCATTCACTATATCTGCTCTCCCCGGACCCTGCATTCACTATATTTGGTCTCCCATAGAACACAGATCATGGAAATGTAATTATTTTAGTAAAAATATAAACACTCCACAGCACAAATAAATTATATATAAAAATTAAAATACTATAAATAAAAGTCCCAAAAAAATAAAGTCCACACATAAAAATTTTTTTTCCAAAACTATATAAAGTGTGCTCAATCCCAAAAAAAACCCTGTGCTCCAAAATTCTTCAAACAAATGTGCTCCCCCCATCCGTGATGAATGCTCCTCCCCCCTCACCAGATGGAATGGACTCTTCCTGATAGGGCACAAGAGTCAGACAAGCTTAGAATGAGTGGGCGTGTCCTCCCAGATAAACTCTGCACTCAATATCCTCCAGAAACGACTCCCACGATTGGATGACAACGGAAAACAAAACAAAAACAACAAATAGTGCAATACTGTAAAAAACTCTTTAATTTAAAAACAAGTCTGCCTTCTATACACTCACATGATACAAAATATAGTCAGGCTTCATAATAGGCCCAGAGGCTCATATTATATGACAGATTTCCATTTGTAGAAGTGGACTGGCAAAGATAGATAGAAATCCCTTCTAGACAAGCAGGAAGTCACTCCGGAACGCCGCCAACCAGCGTGCGTTCCACTCACCGGACGTGACGTCACCACGCAGCCACCGCAACCGGAAATACGACGACACGTTTCACCCTCCTCCAGGGCGTTATCCAAGGCATCCTTTATAGCTCCCCACTACTCCTCCCCTTTCTCCATTCAGCCAAATCATCCCATTAACCCTCTAACACCTCATCCCTCCAATCCACTTCCCAATTACAATCTCCAAGCCAACATACACATACCAATATCGATATTATAAACAACAAACACTTAATTACCTCTCTATTTATTTTAATAACAAATATTACTCCATACTAATTAATCTAATACGAAGAATAAAATACATGAAAAAAAATTAAACCTAAAACAAATATTAAATAAATATTACAAAAATAAGAAAAAATAACAAATGAAAAAAAAACAAAATAAAAAAAATAAAAATAAAAAATATAAAAATAAAATAAAAATAAAAAATAAAATGAAATAAAAAATAAAATAAAAATAAAAATAAAAAATAATGACAATAAAATAATAAAAATAAAAAATTCAAAATTACACAATAAACAACAATCAAAGAATTCATATCTAATAGACACTACCAATTGGACAAGAAACAGTTAATATCTAAATTCAACCCCTTAGGGGATAAAGTATTCAATTTTAGGATCCATCTTTTCTCATTCTGTGAAATTGACCTAGTCACGTTGCCACCACACTAATGAGGCTCAACTTTGTCGATCCCACAGAACCTGAGCAAAGATGGATCCCTATTGTGGCACTTCCTAAAATGGTAGGACAAACTGTGATGCCTAAAACCTCTTTTAATGTTTCTAATGGATCTTAAAATTGAATACATTATCCACTAAGGGGTTGAATATAGATGTTGATCTTAATTGTTTCTTGTCCAATTGGTAGTGTCTATTAGATATGAATTCCTTGATTGTTGTTTATTGTGTAATTTTGTAGTTTTTTTTTTTCTTCATTTTTTTATTTATTTAAATTGTTTTAATTTTATTTATTTTTAGTTTTTCATTTTTATTATTTTTTGTTTTTTTTTTATCTTTATTTTTATATTTATTTTCATTTTTATTTATTTATATCATTTTAAATTTTAATTTTATTTTTATTATTTTTCCTATTTTTTATTTTTTTATTTTTATTTTTACATAAACATTTTTTGTATTAGAACTATTGTTTGGGGTCTATTAGATTAATTAGTATGGAGTA